TCATAACATAGGAAGAGACATGTAGACACACGAGGGCGATGGAGCTGCACTCGGCACTGGATGTGGTGAAGAAGGGTATGTAAGAGGTCTTTCTCCATACCCATCAAAATTTTGAATCTATAAACACTGGAGGCAAGTTTATCCATTTTCAGAGAATTGACTTAGTGGACTAGGAAATAGCAAGGGCATTTTGTTTTGGTCCTCTGAAATTGCTAAATAGAACTTCACAAAGAGTACATGAGAGCCATGAGATGACTGAAATAAGTTGTGGAATTTAAAAGGTGGAAATTTTTTTTTACAGTGTTAGGGGTCATTTCCCCATAGTCAGCCGTGAGTATGGTTAGACCCATTAGTTCCTGGCTTGTTAGTGAACAGGAGATGGCAGACCCTCTCTTGACTGCACAGCAAGTAACTGCAAAGGGGAATGACATATACCAGCTTGAATATAATAGGGAAGCTAAGAAAAAGGTTGTTACTGTAGTTCTAGGAAGGCAAGAGATTTCTAGCCTCTTAAAGATTCCTGCTCCCAAGATCATTTTATTTCTGTTTAATTTTTCAGACTTTATTCCTGGTATCAATAGGTTAAGAAAGAATTTTCCCAAGTATGGATTTATAGATAATGTTTATAAGTATCTCAAAAAACTTTCCATTTCATAAACAGTAACATTCGTTGATCCCTTTTTAAAATGCAAGTTCAATCCTTATAAGCTAAGTGCAGTGATGATTTCATGTAACACAGTTAAATGCACACAAAATCTGTATATTCTGAATTACAAAAGTGGTGTCCATGGCCACACACAGTTTTAGACAAGGATGCATTTTCACACTGAATAGTACTAACAAATGTTAACAGAACAATACTTGCTTAATACCAAATGCTTGTTCTGTCATCAACTTTTAAAGCAACACCATTCCAACTACTACTAAAAGCATTTAGTTTTAGAAGCTTTAATCTGATCTAGGAAAATAAATTCTCCAAAAACTTGACAAATAGAATGGATAAGCCCCAAAGCTTTTAAATTTAAAAAGGCTTCCAAAGGCTTTGGAATGGCTCACAATGGCTCACGCCTTTAATCCCAGCACTTGGGAGACCAAGGCAGGCAGATCACTTGAGTCAAGGAGTTTCAGACAAGACCAACCTGGGCAGCATGGCAAAACCCCATCTCTACAAAAAAATACAAAAGTTAGCCATGTGTGGTGGCACATGCCTGTAGTCCCAGTTCCTTGAGAGGCTGAGGCAGCAGAGGTTGCAGTGAGCTGAGATCCCACCACTGTACTCCAGCTTGGGTGACAGAATGAGACTCTGTCTCAAAAAATAAAGTTTTCCAACACTGAAGCCTTCACATGAAACTTAGTTTCTCCAAAAAAACAACTTGCTATATGAAGAAAAGAATATTAAAACAAATTACCTTTTAATACAAATATTCTTAAAAGATACGTTTTCTGTATCTACTCAAGAGAAACATAAAACAGCTCACCATCTTTAATAATTTGATTAATGTTGTCTAGAAACTAAAGAATACATGACACAGCTGTGTCTCAGGCTATGGTGAGTCAAAGGTACCATTTGGATTTCACATATTAAAGAGCTGTAGTATAGCTTACAGTGGCACAAAGACTCAACACAAATATTGTGTTGTTTCATCATGTAGGTAGTCAAAAGTCAGAAGGAACTACAGTTTGCAAGATCCTTCATTCATCATTAAAACTGAATAATTCAAGTATGGTAATATAAATGCAGGCGTTAAAGTCTCAAATAACATTTTAAAATTGAAAATACGAAAACTTTGTTTCTTCATCTTTCATTTACGTGGTTAGATATCAGGACCTTACTGTAGAAAATAGTTACTATATATGGTTGTCCCAGAAAATAATGGAGCTTCAGAAAGTACAAAAAGTGTCAGAATCCACAGCTGACTTTGTCAAATGCTTTTCTAGCTCACTTCAATTATTCGTTCATAGTAACCAAGTCTTTTAACCCTAGCAAACTTTCTTGGGTCCTTTCAAATTAACAAGACGGTTTCTTCAACTTGTACTTGATCTGGTCTTCCAATTGGCATTGGAATTTCATCATTTCATTGATGAACTCTATAACAAGATCTTCAAGAATATCCCTGGCTCTGTAAGGATTCTGATAATCCCCAAACCCATACATCAGACATCATAATTCTTTAGGAAACAGTCTCTTTCTTTTGCCAGATCTGCCTTCTACTCCTTCATTTTCTTCCTCAGAGATGTGATTTTCTGCCCTGTTTTCTCAAGGTCATTTTTGTTCTTCAAGTCTGTCCTTGATGTCCTGCCAGTACTACTCAGATCTGGAGTCAGTTGGATGGCTCTGGTGCCAGGTTTGGGACAGAATGGTTACAGTACTAAAGACTCTCCAAGTCACTGCTCACAGAGACTGCAGCTGGTGTTGGTGTCATGACAGAAGCAGAAGAATCACAGCCTAAAAGGATATCTGTGGCACTCTCTCCACGGTTAGAATTGGAACAGCTGATGAGGCAACGTCCTTGGAGGATGGAGGGGAAGAGTAACTTGCCTCCAGATGGGGTTGGGAATTAATTGAGGCCTCCAATACAGTCTCTTGCAGTCCTGAGCTTAGAACCATCTCATCATCATCATCATTATCCCTTTCGCTCTTTTAGAGAAGGGCCTCGCTATGTTGCCAAGGCTGGAGTGCAGTGGCCATTCACAAGCATGGTCATAACACACTATAGTCCCCAGCTCCTGGGCTCATGTGGTCCTCCTGCCTCAGCCTCCTGGGGCTGGGACTACAGGTGTATGCCACTGCACATGGCTGAAATACATCATTCCTTGGTTGTAATGTTCCCATTACTCAACTTGATGGTCTTCCTTTCGTTAAAGCCCAAATTCCAACTTGGGATGAGTGTTCATTTCCAAAGATCCCTTGGGCATCTCAGATACCTGTTTTATCCAGTTAAGGTGATTTTTCAGTACGGTATCAAAGTCAAAGGCATCACCCTCATCTATGAAGCCAATGCCGATGCAAGCACTATGCCTGCGCAGTGTCATCCTAGAACCACATTACAAAGTAGAAGCTGTAATCTTTCACTGTCTCCTTAGCAGTGTCAGCATATTGTTTTACTGGTGCTTGAGCAAAGAGCTCTCCTGATATTTTATACTTGAGTTAACATAGGCAGTCTTCCTTTGGAAGAATGGTCCACATTCCAGCCTGTAGCCATTGTTGGAGGCCTGGGGCAGAATCTAGTAGACATTGACACTGGCTATTGCAGGATAGGCTTGTACTGTGCCTTGGACCGCCATCTTGGCTCTCCCCTTTGTGCCCTCCCAGATGATGCTGGGAGTAAATTGAAGCCTCTAGTCCAGTCTCTTGCAGTTCTGAGCTTAGAAACATCTCCTTCTCCTCCTGCTCATCATCATCTCTTTCTCTCTTAGATAAAGGCCATGCTATGTTGCTAAGGCTGGAGTGCAGTGGCCATTCATAGGCACTCTATGTTCTTTCTTGATTGATTTTTCCTTATAATTTATTTGTTGAACTATTTCTCAAAATCTGGATTTTCTTGAAATGCATCCTCATGGTGTTAATAAGTTCCTCTGTCTTCTCCACTTTCTATAATTGTTAGTTGGGTTTAGAGCAGTGATTTCCCAACAGCAGCAGCATCACCTGGGAATTCTAGGAAATGCTAATTCCTACTCACCCCAGAGAGGCTGGCTGTAAAGATCACCATCTTGTAGAGACCTAACATCTAAATTCTGTGATGTCACCCATTGAAAGAGATCAAAACAATTGGGGTGGAGAGGGGTGAAAATATTGGATGAGGTAGTGGTTGGTCTCATGATGGGATAGCATACTTGTTATTTCTATGTTTTTATTTCATATCAATGAAAATTTGGGAGTTTTGCCTAACATCGAATGCAAAGAAAAAAAAAAAGGAATGGTGAACTTATGGTTAAACAGTTAACTTAGCTGATGTAACGTACTTTAAAAACTACATCATTACTAATAGTCTAGTGTTCCCTGCCCTTTGCAAAGACATGAGGAGAAAAGTTTGTTCTCCGCCAATGCTTAGGCTACTATTTGACCCTTTCTAGATGACAAGGGAGTTCAGATAGGGCAGACTGTCCTCCCTCAGAGATTGGAGTTTTAGTTACCTGTATATTTGACAGCCAAAGGCACTTGGTTTGGAAAGATCCTTGGTTGGGCCCTCTAGCTGCAGCCGTGGCTAGTCAGTGTTTCATAGAGAATGCAAGCCAGGCTTGCTTTGCCAGAAAAGACCCTTCTGATTTTAGCAGAAAAGATCAGCCCAGGACTGGCCATCTGGCAGGTAATCAGGACCTACTTAAACAATTGAGCAAGGACCAATAGGTGGAACTGAACCGTCATGAACTCATGGAGTAAACATGCCTACCAAGCTGTAAAATTAAACTTCGTTTTCCAAAGCCTCAGTGAACAAAATCTGAGATAAATCACTTTTAACTCATCTTGGTACTCCTTTGTAAAAAGCAAAGGATAGACTGTATGCATTTGACAATGTAGAACTGAAAACCTAGACGGAAACACTTAGATTAACAAATGATAAAACATAACCACATCATTTTACAAAGTTTTTATACATTTTTTTGTTTTGTTTTGAGACAGAGTCTCGTGCTGTCACCCAGGCTAGAATGCAATGGCATGATCTCGGCTAACTGCAACCTCAGCCTCCCCAGTTCATGTAATTCTCCTGCCTCAGCCTCCCAAGAAGCCAGGATTACAGGCACACACCACCACACCTGGCTAATTTTTTGTATTTTTAGTAGAGACAGGATTTCGCTATGTTGACTAGACTGGTCTCGAACTCCTGGCCTTGTGATTCACCATCCTTGGCCTTCCAAAGTGCTGGGATTACAGGCATGAGCCACTATGCCCAGCCAGTTTTTATACATACTAACATAGTGATATTGGAAATTGATTTTTCAGTGGAAAAAAAATGCTCTCTATTTTGGAAAGTAGGTAGTTGAGCTCCTGTTTTAAATGAAGACATGCTACCTGGAAAATTAATATGCCTGTGTAAGTTCAGTGAGGTGGAAGGGCAGAAGGTGAAGAAGGGTGAAGATACCAGAATGTATCCATTCCACTACCAGTGGACATTGGGTTGCTTCCAAGTTTAGGTACCTCCAAACCATGCTGTATAAATATCCTTCCTTGTTCATGTGCCCTGGCACACATGTGCAAAAGTTTCTGTAAGGAGTTAAATTGCTTGGTCATTCCTTATGAGTATTTTCATCTTTATTAAATATTGCCACATTGTTTTTGCAGAGTGGCTGTACCGGTTTACAGCCCCATCAGCAGGATGGGTCTCCTTGGCTGGATTCCAGTCTGCCTCTTTTGGGAGGAGGGTGTAGCAGGGAGAGAAATAAGGCTGGCAAGGAATGAGGAAGCCAGGCAGGAGAAGGCCGTTAGTGCCAATCCAAGGAGTTCAGACTGTATTTGACTGCACTGGGAAGCCACTGGAACAGGGAACAAAATGCAAAAACAAGGTTTTGGGAAGGTGAGTCTTTAAAGCTCTCTCTTGGTTTGTTTGTGTTGGGGGTTGGTAGTGATAGTGGTGGGGTTGGCTTAGGCCAGCAGCAGGACTCAAGCTCACAGGAGAGAGGAGATCTGTGCGGTGACAGCACGAAGTGGACAGTGAGCACATGCCTGATGGCAGAAAACCAGAGCATTTCAGATCTCCCAACTATTATCCTTAAATAATCCAGTTAGACACTCACACACTGCTGGTAGAGGTGTGAAGTGCTACAGCCTCTCTGGAAAAACAATGTGGACTTATTTAACAAAGATAAATATGCACATACTGAGTGGCCCACAAGTCCTGAAATACACCAAGCAAAACAGGAAAAAAAAAAAAAAAAAAAGAGAAGGAATCGTCAACATTGGATGTAATAGGGAGGTCTATCAAAGATCTGAAAAGTGTCCACCGTCTAATTGTCCACTTAGCAATTAGAAGTCTGATGATGAGCTTTGCCACAGAAATGTTTGTGACCAGTGGTTTGAAGGATGGGTGAGTGGTAGGAAAGAGAAACTGGGTGCCGGTCCGACTGTCAGGATGGTTGGCTGAGACATTAGTATGTGATCAAGCAAGATGGGTCCCCTCGGCTAGATTTCAGTCTGGCCCTTTGGGGAGGAGGGTATAGGATGCTGGGTACAGGGTACATAATTTTACACATGGTGATGTAACACTTGGGAGAAACAATAAAATTAAATCCTCATTTTACATCATATACCAAGTTAAAGTTCAGATGGATTGAATATTTAAATATACAAGGCAAAACTGGAAAAGAACTAGAAGAAAATCTAGAACATATAAATTTTCTATATAAAGAAAATTTATTTTGTGTATAAAGTTGGAGATGGCTAAAACTTTTCTAAAATTGACATCAAAACTAGAAACTTTAAAGGATAGTATAGATAAATTTGACTTTATTAAAATACACACACACAGACACACCTATTAAACCTTTCTGTAAGAAAAAGAAAAAAAAGACTAAAAACAAAATTAAATGACAAACAGAAAAATATTTATAATTGGGAAGCTGAGGCGGGAGGATTGCTTGAGCCCAGGAGTTTGAGATTATAGTGAGCTGTGATCGAGCCACTGCATTCCAGCCTGGGTGACAGAGCAAGACCCTGTCTCTAAAAACAAAATAGAAAAAAATATTTATAACATATGATAAATAACTTTTACAAATAATTAAGAAAAAGAAGTTGGGTGTGATGGCTCATGCCTGTAATTCCAGCATTTTGGGAGGCTGAGGCAGGTGGATCACTTGAGGCCAGAAGTTTAAGACCAGCCTGGCTAACATGCCAAAACTCCGTCTCTACTGAAAATTGAAAAATTATCCTGACATGGTGATGCATGCCTGTAATCCCAGCTACTTGGGAGGCTGAGGCACGAGAATCACTTGAACCCACGAGGCAGAGATTATAGTGAGCTGAGACGGTGCCAGTGCACTCCATTCTGGGTTATAGAGAGAGACTCTGTCTCTAAATAAAACAAATAGGAACAAGAAAAACATCAATAGAAACATAGATATGAATAGGAAATTGACAAAAAATACAACTACCAAGTTAAATCAACCTTAGCAGAAGTAAAAAACTAGTTCAAGATGGCACAGTGAACTGTTATATTTACTTCTCTTTCCTCCCTAATTCCAACTGGAATTACATTTTTTAAATGAAAAAAAAAAAAAAAAGTAAAGTATGCAACCTCATGAGAGAAGTTGAAAAAAAAAAAAAAAGTAATGTAAAAGGGAAAAATATCCAAAGCAAAAAAAAAATTCCAAAGCAGTGCTGGAATACAAGGAAGGGTTTACAGTACACTTCTTTGGACCTGATGCCTAACACTTTCCCTTCTGGGAGAAAATCCACCATTCCCACTTCAGTCATGTGGTTCATATGGGAAACTGAGGCTTAGAGACAGCAGAACTGGGCAGTGGCAGCAGGATATTGTGGCAGGTGGTAGCAATCAGGGGACTTCAGGCTGTGGTCTCACACTGCCGCCCTGCCTTTCTCTTTGCTCACAGAGAACATTCAGATGGCTTTCTCTAGCAAGGTAGAAAGGCTCTCAAATAAGTAAGGAACATACTTTGACAGCTATTGTGGCATTAGGGCTGGACAAGGAGACAGGCAGTGCACCAGCCAACTCCCAGTGGACACTAGACAGGAGGAAGAAAGCACAGGGCTGTCAGGACAGCCCCTCCCTCTTTCCCCCATTAGGAGGATTCCTGAGCCTGCACACCTGTTCCCTTTGTGCATCCTGGAGGGACAGCCCCCGCCCCAAACCTTCCTATGCCCTCACCAAACCAGATGAAGCTCACCTTCAAAGTCCTGTGTGAAGTGAGAAACAAACCCCAAACCTAAAGTCTCTGAAATTAATGTCCAAATGATTTGAACAAAACCTGGGTAGGTAGAAACCAAAGGGTTTCACTTTAATGTTTGGCAGTAAATTCTCAACTGGTCTTTCCACCTGTGCTGCAATCCACTATGGAGCCAATTATTCCATTCTTGTAACAAGTCCCATTCCACATTCCTCTGACTTCAGACATACTTGCTGATGTTTACTCCTCTCCGTAGAATGCCCAGCCTGTCTTTGCAGGCCGAAACCTTTATTTTCCCATACCTGCCCTGTGCCCACGGAAACTGCTCTCCAGTTCTCAGGATATATACACTATATTCTTCTTCCCTCTGCCTCAGATACTCCTTAGTAGTCCTGCTGTTCTAAATCCTACCCCTATCCTACCCCTTTACTGCATCTTCAAGGCCATTTTCTCCACAAAGCTTTTCTTTAACACACAGGGCCAGTAGGTAACCCATGAGCATTTGTGGAACAAAGTAATCAAACAAGGGTGAGCCTCAGTTCTAGCTTTGTAAGGTTGGGGACAAGAATGTTCTCCCTGCTGGACTGTTGAGAGTTCAATGAGGTGTGCATATACCAAGCCCCATGCTGAGTGCCCAGAGACACTGTACCTTCCTGGCATGTTCCTCTTCGCCATTCCCCAGCAGTGCGTCCCTCACTCCCTCCACTCCAGTTTCTTACTTCCTACTCACTGGCTCTCTTCTTCCTTCCCATCTTCCTCCAAACTTCCCATATTCCACTGTCTCTGTCACCATCTTTCTCACTTGTAAAAAAGGAATTCATAAAAAAAAAGAGGCCAGGCTGGGCCCAGTGGCACATGCCTATAATGCTAGTACTTTGGGAGGCCAAGGCGGGCAGATCATGAGGTGAGGAGATCGAGACTATTCTGGCTAACACAATGAAACCCTGTCTCTACTAAAAATACAAAAAATTAGTCAGATGTGGTGGCATGCATCTGTAGTTCCAACCACTAGGGAGGCCGAGGCAGGAGAATCGCTTGAACCCGGGAGGTGGAGGTTGCAGTGAACCGAGATAGCGCCACTGGACTCCAGCCTGGCAACAGAGCAAGACTCTGTTAGGAAAAAAAAAAAAAAAAAAAAAGCCCAGAAGTCAGAATAAAGCTAGAAAAATCACTAAGTATGCAAAGTTCTTCTTGCAGGGTTTGGTTTGTTCAAATGCCTTCTTTGTTTTCCTTGCCCCCTGCCTTTCTCCAGTGTCAGGATTTGAGGTTTGCAGAGCTACGTGGCAGTGAAATGTAGAATATTCTCCTGAATTTTGGGCCCATGGAGAAAAGAGGCAAAAGTCCTGACATTTTTCCTGAGGATTGTCTGATTTAAAAGAGCTTATTCTCCTGAGGCAAATGCCTCAGCTTTATTGTGCTGAGACAAGCTGAACAGACAAGGAATAAACCTCCCTAGAACACACTGATTAGATTAGCCAGTGAGAACCACTGAAGACGCAGACATTAGATTAAAAAACAGAAAAATGAATGTTACTTTTACAGTAGCTATGAATAGACAAAGAGTTTTGGGTTTGAAAATAGTTGGTGAGGTAATAGAGGAGGGGCTATGTTAATGGCAGAGGTAGAAGAGAGGTAGATGGTTCCAACTGCAAGGTCCACCCTAAAAGGATTGCGGTCAGGGCCCAGGAGCCACAGGCCACTGCACTGAGGTGAGTAGAATGGATTTTACATACATAAAGTTACAGCGTGGTTGTAGGTTCTTGTTTGGGAATGTGAGTGAACCAACAGTAGTACAGGCAGGATTCCCCAGCCCACCGAGAGTCAGGTGAAAATTTTACTGTTTTTCGCTAAAGACCTGTACAAGACTTAGAGCAAAGATAAGGAGTAGCCTGATTGTTGAAATTAACCTATAACTATTCCAACATAGCAAAGGACAAGTAATAGAATGATGAGGTTCTCCTATAGTAGTACTGCGATTTCGTCCTGCTCTGTCCCCCTACTCCAGTTTCCTCTGTCAGGGGAGCATGTAGTGTGTGCACATCTGTGCAATGTCAGACTTCTAAAACCAGGGGTTGAAACCTACATCTAGTTAGACCTCTGCGCAGAGGGTTGGACCTGCCCTACATCTAGTTAGATCTGCCACAGAGAACATGGCATTTAAAAACTACCCTTTTGAGCCATGGAAGTCACAGGGGTTGATAGTATTTCACACTTCTTCTAATTCAATAAGGGTTACTTATGGTGTCCCCTCTGAGTCTCCTAGGAGTCTAGAAAACATGAGACTTGTATAAGAATCCACACGTCAACTAAGCGTTCTGGCCCAAAGAAGGCATCGTTACCGAGGATTTGTTTTCTGAGATCTTTAGAGAGTGAGAGGGAAGAAATGCATGAGGAGCCAGAACTAGTCCCCATCTCTCTCCCTAGAAATGAAAGACTGCATAGGTCTTACGTATCAGGACTCCTGGAGATCAGCTGGCTTTCCAAACAGCTTGTGATGAAATCCTGGTTTAGAAACTCAGTGCCCTTAGCTTTGTGGGCTTCTGTCCCTGAGAAATGGTGTTTTACCCTCCCTCTAAGCAGGCATCCCAGGATTTGGAATTCAGCTGTGAGCTCATGAGCTGAGGGATATTTCCAGGAGTACCTTGAAGACCACCCAGGTATGCACTCTGCAATTCCTTTGTTTCGGATGGACCAGTCTAAGGAGAGTCATCTTTTCCCACCCCATTGACAGCACTCAGCGAGTGGCTTGTTGGTTGACTGAATGCCTGCCCACATCCCCTCCAGTCAAGTTTATCTCCCAGAGAGGCAGTAACTAAGCACTTAGCACTGGGGACACTCATACATCTCTTTTACCTCCACTGAACTAGAAGTAGGGATGGTGACCATGTCAACAGAGGAAATAACTGTAGCACAAGGGATGTCACAAGAAACAGTAGAATGTGTTCTCCAATGTTACCATTTCCCAAACCAGAATCAACTGGTCTTGGGTTTCCTTCCCTCATCCATCATCTGTAGAAAACTTTTGTTTCTTGACCTACTTAAGATCTACTTCCCTATCTTAAGACGTAGGCTTCATGCTTCTTCTGCTAATTTATTATCTCAGAAGTATATAATTTGGACAATTTTATATAGTTTTGAGGACAGGAGCCCTGTAAGAGTCTTACTAAAAAATGGATTCAGCTTGGTTTGAGGTTTAATAGGTTATTGCGATACTCCCTTCTGGTATCACAGGACATATGCTGGGTCTGGCTGAGTCCCCCTTTTGTGTCTTACCCTTCCTCTCCTTACTCCAGAGTGAGAGCAGCCCTGATGGAGAAACAGAATTCCCATCCATGCCTACTTCATTTCTGCCCCTCTTACCCTAAGTCTGGGCAATTTGCAACATCATTTTACATTACACTTCCTAGATCACAGACTCTTTTTTTAGGAAGAGTCAATTCAAGCCACCCAGGACTTAGGATTCCTTGCACTGTCGGGCCCGGTGTGAGCACAGTAATGGCATGGGCTGCCTGATGTGGGGCAGTCCCTCTTAGCAATTCAGTCAGCAGCCATCTCAGTGCCCCCTGTGTACATTCAAGGTACTTTGCCAGGCTGTGGGAACAATGTGGGGTTAAAAAACACATAGTCCTTGCCTTTAGAAAGCTTAAAATACAGAGTCAAATACAATGTTATTTAACAGATGTGTGTTAATTAACAATTAAAGCTAATATCGTGCACTGTTCCATTGAACGAACATGACTTAATGGGGTAAAATCAGAACGCAACTTGATTTTTGCCTCTTACTGCTCTATTACATCGATTCTCTTTTTGAGTTGGAGTCTTGCTCTGCTGCCCAGGCTGGAGTGCAGTAGCACAATATTGGATCACTGCAACCTCCACCTCCCGGGTTCAAGTGATTCTCCTGCCTCAGCCTCCTGAGTAGCTGGAGTTACAGGCACATACCACCACGCCCAGATAATTTTTGTATTTTTAGTAGAGATGGGGTTTCGCCATGTTGGCCAGGCTGGTCTCAAACTCCTGACCTCAGGTTATCCACCCACCTTGGCCTCCCGAAGTGATGAGATTACAGGTGTGAGCCACCACACCCAACCTCTTCTACATTTATTCTGTGGGACTAGCTCTTGCTCTGCCCCTGAATGAAACTTAGGCAAGTCACAGGATTGTTCCAGCCACGCTTGGTCTCAGTCTCCTTTTAACAATTATAATTTCCAGTCCTACCTAATGATACCACTTCAATCCTGATGTGGAGTGGAACCTCTTCTGGTCCTGCTAAAGAACAGAAGCCCATGGTGGATAGTGGTCTGGATGGGAAGAAGTCCCTGGTTTCCACTCTTCCTCACTTATTTAGCTAACTGTGGTCCTCAGCCCATTCAGGGTTGTTGCCTGGGAGAGAAGAGGCGAGGGGAATAGGAAAACTATACATTTGTGATCTCCAGCTCACCAGTGGAATGTGGTGATTCTTTCACAAGTTCCTGCTATAACTCCTCTGTTATTCCCCTCAAAGGCCAGCTTTTTCCACCCCGGTCAGAATCCCTTTCCTACACCCACCCCATTAATCTCATCCTAATGGCCCCACCCGTCATCTCTTTCCTGCCCATTTCTCCTCCTTCTTGGATGAAGCTACCATCTTCCCCTGGCCCTGGTTCAGCCTTTCCTCTCTACTCAGAAACATGAATCTCCAAAAAGCCAGCCAGCAAAACAGAGCAGGTCTGCCTGGCATAGAAAATGCCAGAATTTGGAGAACAAAAGCCCTTTTTTGGATAGCACTGTTCTTTGTTGTTGCTCATACAGCACAGCTCTTTGTGATTAATCTATATTTAACATAGCTCCAATCAGAGTGATAAAGGAATATTTTTATTATTAAAATTATTTCCTTTTATGGCAAAATAAGCATAAGATTGACCATTTTAACTATTTTTGAATGTACAAAATTCAGTGACATTAATTATATTCACATTGTTCTGTAATACAACCATCACCACCATACATTTCCAGAACGTTTTCATCATTCCCAACTGAAACTTTGTACCCATTAAATACTAACTCTCCATTTTCCATAGCCCTAGGCCCTGGGAGCCATTACAGTTCTAGGTACCTCATATAAGTGGACTCATAACGGTATTTGTCCTTTTGTGTCTGGCTTATTTCATTTAGCATAATGTCCTTAAGTTTACTCATGTTGCAGCATGTGTCTGCATTTCATTCCTTTTTAAGGCTGAATCACGTTTGCATGTATGTACCACATTTTATTTATCCTTCTGTCAATGGATATTTAGGTTGTTTCCACCTTTTAGCTGTTATGAAGAATGCTGATATGCACATTAGTATATAACTATCTGTTTGAGTCCTGGCTTTCAATTCTCTTGGGATAAACCCGGAAGTGGAATTTATTTAATTGTTCTTGAATAGGGAATACCTCTGTATGATGGACAATATAAAAGGTACAAGAAGTCATACAGTTCCCTGAGCCCCCACCTCCAAGTTCCCCTCCCAGGTAGCATCACTGTAACCAGTGCCTGTGACTTCTTCCCTGGAGACACCATGTACCCATAAGCATCCTCTACCCAGGCATGATGACAGCCATAAGCACTCTTCTACACTTTCCCTTTTTCCTACTTAACAATATTTCCTTTTAAAAGGTTTTAAAATTTATTTATTTTTTTCTTCAACTTTTAAGTTTAGGGGTACATATGCCAGATGTGCAGGTTTGTTACATGGGCAGATGTGTGCCATGATGGTTTGCTGTACGGATCAACCTATCACCTAGGTATTAAGCCCAGCATCCATTAGCTATTCTTCCTGATGCTCTCCCTCCCCCCAGCAATATTTCTAAAAAAATCATTCTATAGCACCATTTAAAGAATATCCTCATTCTATTTAGAAGCTTCACGGTTTTCCAAAGTAGAGACAAAACTTGTTTTTCTTTTTTTTTTTCTTATTTATTTATGAGACTAAATCTTGCTCTTGTCCTCCGGGCTGAAATGCAATGGTGCGATCTTGGCTCACTGAAACCTCTGCCTCCTGGGTTCAAGCAATTCTCCTGCCTCAGCCTCCCAAATAGCTGGGTTTACAGGCACCTACCACCATGCCCACTAACTTTTAAATTTTTAGTAGAGACAGGGTTTCAACATTTTAGCCAGGCTTGTCTCTTGCTTTTGACCTCAGGTGATCCGCCCACCTCAGCCTCCCAAAGTGCTGGGATTACAGGCATGAGCCACTGTGCCCTTTTCTTTTCTTTTTAAAACCAGTCCTTTATTCATGGACATTCAGGTTGTTTCCAATGTTTTGCCACCACAAACAATGCTGTGATAATAACAGCCAGCATTTTCTGAATGCTTACCATGTGCCAGACCCTTGTTAAATCCTTCCTGTGTATCATATTTAATTCTCACTATAACTGTGACATAAGCACAGGGAGGTGAGTGTCTCAAACCACATCTCTGTTTTTGTCCACAGATGGGAATGTGTCTGTAAGATAACTTTCCAGATAAAGAGTTGCTGCTACCAAAAGGTACGTCCATTTAATTTATTTATTTTTATGGAATCTTGCTGTGTTTCCCAGGCTGGAGTGCAGTGGCGCAATCTCAACTTACCACAACCTCTGCCTACCAGGTTCAAGCGATTCTCATGCCTCAGCTTCCCGAGTAGCTAGGACTACAGCCACCACGCCTGGCTAATTTTTGTATTTTTTTGGTAGAGATGAGTTTTACCATGTTGGCCAGGCTGGTCTCGAACTCCTGGCCTCAAGTGATCTGTCTGCTTCCACTTCCCAAAGTGCTGGGATTACAGATGTGAGCCACCATGCCAGGCCATGTATGTCCATTTTAAAGTTATATAAATACTGCCAAACCGGCCCCATCGAGGATGTGCCCATCTGCATCTCACTGGCAAGTAGATATATGAGGGCCCGTTGCCTTCATCTATCATTGTTGAAAATTTTCTTGATATCTGCCAATCCGAAAGGTGAAAAATAGTATTTCATTGTGGCTCTGATTTGTTTTCTTTTCCTTTAAATGAATGAGGTTGAGCATGTTTTCAAATGTTTAGTCCATTTGTTTTATAATGGGCTTTTAAAAACTTGATAAAATGCTTCCAGTGTTGACCTAGAATAGTCAATGGACAAGGTAGTCTGGATTCCTTTACATTTTAATTCTACTTATAGATTTTTAAAATAGTTAATACAGTTACAAGATTAAAAATTTGAAAGGAGTACAAGAGTAGAGACAAACCCCCATCCGTGTGTCTCCCCAGTGCCCAATTCCTGTCTCCAAACACAATCAGGCCTCCATTTGCCTCAGTTTCTCCCTCCTGTGTCCATGGGCTGCACCATTATCCTTAGCTGCTCTATCTCTGAAATATTAAATTCAAACATTGCACTCTGATCTCACCACTGTCCTCTTAACCACCCAGCACCTGACCTTCAACCTCATCATGACTCCTCTCTTGACATCCCGCCTGCCCTTGACCTTACCTTCCTTTCCCATCTAGCTGAGGTTCTCTGCTCTCCAGAGGCTCCATGTTGGGACCCACTGGCCTCCAGCCACACCTGTCTGGAAAGCCTTACTTTCTGTTTCACAATACCTAGTTCAGAGTCAGCCTACCCAGGGGATTACTCTCATTTAAAAGTCTTGGCTGGGCTTGGTGTCTCATGCCTGTAATCCCAGCACTTTGGGAGGCCAAGGCAGGTGGATCATGAGGTCAGGAGTTGGAGAGCAGCTTGACCAACACAGGGAAACCCCATCTCCACTAGAAGTACAAAAATTAGCTGGACATGGTAGCATACACCTGTGATCCCAGCTACTCAGGAGGCTGAGACAGGAGAATCACTTGAACCCAGGAGGGGGAGGTTGCAGTGAGCCGAGATCGTACCATTGCACTACATCCTGGGTGACAGAGTGAGACTCCATCTCAAAAAAAAAAAAAAAAAAGAAATCTTAAGCAGAGTAACCATATAATTTACTGTTCAAACTAGGACCCTTTTAAGAATGAAAGGAACACTATTTATTATGAAGCCAAGACAATATAGGGAGATGGCTACTGTCCAAGGCAGATCGGGATGCAAATTCAAGCTCAGTTGTAAGGAACAATTACATTTAATTTCAGAGCAGAGATCAATAATATGTGCTGAGCCCAGCAAATGATTTAAGTTGCTGCCTTTGTTCACTGCCCAAGCTTCTCTTCTAAATGAATTTTTTAAACAGTGCATTTCTGCAACACTATTTTCTTAAAAATCTATCCTTTAGAATACCAGTTTCAGCCCCTAAACTGAAGTGTGTGACAAAATTAGTTTTTTAAGAAATTCTCCTTCATCTATACTTGAGCCCCCCTCTTCAAAAAGGTGTTGACCCTTAATCCCATTCAGTTCTGAGTTTCCTTTGCAGTTTCCATTTTGAGTTTGGAGTGGGGTGGAGTGCAGGATTCTAGACTCTCAGGGATGTGCAAAGGGTCCTGCCCTTGATGTCATCTATCCTGGTCCTGGGTCGTTGGTGCCTAGAGGTTATTGTGGAGGTCAAAGTTTCTCTCCACCTCTTCATGCAGCCTCAGGGAGCTTGCCTAGGGTCCTCTTGGCCTAGATACACCCAGCAGCCATCTGTTTTCCTCTGGGAAGCAAGACACAGGCCCTCTTCTGTTCTTAGATCCACAGATCGTGAGGGATGCTGCTTGGGGAGGCTGAGCAGCATCCCTCACCATCTGTGGAACTGAGAACAGAAGATTTGGGACCTCAACCTCCAGGACCTAGAAAAGTCAATGTTTCTCAACTTCCCTCTGGTCCTTCTCCTTGCCCTGGGAAATTCTTCTTGGATAAGAGGGGTAGGGAACAGCCTTGATCTTTCTCATGACCATTTTCTCCCCTACTTTGCTTTAGGTCTAGGCCAGAAGTCTTTTCTATTCCCCTAAGGAAAGAGGCTCCTTCCCTATTCTTTCTGTTTTCACACACCCTCCCTGCAGCAATGAGCATAGAGTGGCCTAGCTATTTGAGGCAGAGAAGGGAGAGACGTAAAGGGAATATCAGGCTGGAGGAGGCATTGGCTAATATTTCAGAACATTACCTTGCAAGGCATATAAAAATATCTTTTAAAAGATGTGCTTTCAGTTTTAACTATTATGATTGTATAATGTTTCAGATCTTGTAGGCAAGACTCCCTACTCCCATCCCCCAGGCCAGGGCAGCCAGTTATCAGCTGTGTGAACTAGGGCAAATTATGTTATCCTCTCTAAACTTTAGTTCCTCCTTCTGTAAATGAAGATAATAGTAGTTCATATCAGTGCTTCCACTTGCCAAACACTTTTCTCAATGTATTATTCATGTTAGCTCATTTAATACTGACCATAAACCTATGGGATAGCTGCTATTATTCCCATTTTACAGATGAGGAAGCCACTTCTCGAAGTAGTAGGTAACTTGCCCAAAGTCATGTGATCTGCTTGGGAGTTTGATTGAGGTGGGAGGATTGCTTGAGCCCAGGAGTTTGAGATCAGCCTGTGAAACATATTGAGAGCTCATCTCTACAAAAAATTAAAAAGTAGCCTGGACTGGTGGCACCTTTGTATAGTCCCAGATACTTGGGAGGCTGAGGTGGGAGAATCGCTTGAGCCTGGGAAGTCAAGGCTGTAGTGAGCTGTGGTAATACCACTGAACTGTAGCCTGGGTGACAGAGTGAGACCCTGTCTCCAAAATAAATAAATAACAAATAAATACATAAATAAAATGACCTCATGAGGTTGCTGTGAGGATTGAGGTAAAATATGTTAAGTTCTCAGCCCAGAACCTAGCACATAGTAAAAACTCAACAAATTCTAAGCTAATACTTTAGCCATAACTTTTTGGTCATTTTGATTCAAAATGTCCTTGGAATTGTATTTTAAATGTATACAAATGTCTGAATTTAAGCATATTTGCCCTATTCAGTTTTCCCATCCAGAAATATGATGTCTTATTACACGTTTCTTAGAAAAGTTTGCCATATATCCTCATATAAAACATGCATTTCCAGGCAAGTTTATTTCTAGATGTTTTAGGGTTTTTGTTATTATTGAAAATGAAATATTTTCCTCCATTGTATCTTTTGATCAGACAATGCTGGTGTCTCCAGGTTCTTGTTAATTAATCACTTCCCAGATGTCTCTAGAGGGATGGCTTTCCATAGCCCTCTGATTTTAGGTTGACATGAAGATCATTTGGCTCAGCCAGTGATATGCTCTGACAGAGAGGCACAGGGGCACAGGGTGAGGAGTAGCTTTCCAGGGGTAGCTCAGGTTGGCTGAGGTGATCAGAGAACTGTCCCTAGGCTAAGAAAGTACAGCCTGGGGAGAGGGGAAGGAAGGGGTCAGCCCTTGGCTGCATGCTGGTTCTGGATCCATTTGGGGATCTGTCTGAAGGATGAGTTCCTAGGTACTCAAATTTCTTCTGTGGCCTCAATGATTTCCCAATTGTGTTTGCCAAATGAAGGCTTCAGTGGCAGCTCTGCCAAGACCCAAGATGCCTCCTTGGGGTCTGGCTCGCTTAAGTAGCAGGACTGTCCTGCAATGCCTAATCTTTCTCGGTGGGAGATGTGTCATCTGTGGCGTCACTGAATCAACTCCCTCCCTGCCTCCACTGCAGGCCTCCAGAGGGCAGCAAAGAGCAGGTGAGAGAAGAGAATAGGACTTGGTTCCTGAAGAAGCAACAAAGACCGCCCCCTATCCTCAGGATAGACACATGGGCCTCTTCCTGAGGGCATAATAATTATTATTAATTAATACAAACTATTCCCTGTGGGCGAGACATTGACCTGAGATTTCACACCGATTGAAATAACCCTTGACATAGATATAATCATTATTCTCATTTTTTTCGGTTGAGGAAATTGCAGTGAAACAACAACAAAAAAAAGTTGCCCAAGGTCCCACAGTTAATTGAGACAGGATTTGGACCCAATCATTTATGAGACAGGCTCTATTCTAGGTATCAGAGATACATTAGTGAATAAGACAAACTTTCTGCCATGTTAGAGGAACAGACAAAAAGTGAACAAATGAATAAACACATGATGTGGTTTTGGATAGAAATGCCATTTAGACAAATAAAGCAGAGTTAAAGACCAGAGAGGGGCATTTTAGATGGGCTGGTCAGGGAAGGTGTTCTTGGGTAGATGCCATTTAAACAAAGAGTTGAATGGCATCTACCCAAGAACATCAAGTCAGGCTGAAGACTGGGGAAGCAGTAAGTGCAAAGGTCCTGAGGTAGGAATGAACCTGGGGTGTTAGAGGAACAGCAAGACTTGCATTGTGGCTGCTGTAGAGTGAGCTAAGTCCACAGCCACAGCAGCAATTGGGCATCTACAGCATCACCTGGGCTTGTCCGCTTGCAGTGTCTACAGCATCTCTTTAACATATCTCTCACCATTTTTCACCTTCCTTCAGAGTGCTGACGCCATCACAGTATGTTCCTTTCTCAACCCTGGACACAGTTCAAAAGCAGCTAAAGCAGACAAGAATCTGGGGCAGCCAGTATTGTACCACCTGCCAAAGCTTGGGACAAACAGTCTGGAAGCCAAAAATTGCACATACTGGGGTGAGTCTTGCCCAGCCTGTGGGGAACTTCTTGTGCGTAAAGGTTCTAGATAAGACTGCCGGGGCCCCCAAGTGAAGCCATTGTCCCACTAACAAGGGCCTAAGCCCTGCAGGTCTCTCCAGGGTAGGAAGCTGCTTTTTTCTTCACAGAATTTTGCCCCTATGCCACGGTCCTATGTCAGACCTACCTAAATCCTTCCAGATGTCCTTCCAGGTGGGGTTCAGATGGCATTTAGCTAGGAGATGGAAGGTAATCTGTCCCAGTGAGCAGCCATCACTGTCCGCCAGGTATCCAAAGAAAATGGAGGCACAGAGGTCAAACATTGTAAATTACAGTCCCTCAGCATCTGCAAGGGACTGTTGCCAGGACCACCTGTAGATACCATAATCTGAGGTTGCAAGTCCTTCACGTAAAATGTGACCTATGCACATCCTCTGTTTACCTGAAATCATCTCTAGATTACTTATAATACCTAATACAATGTAAATGCAATGTAAATAGTTTTTCATACTGTACTTTGGGGGTATTTGTGTTATGTTTTATTGTCGTATTATTATTTATTTTTATTTTTTCAAATATGTTTGATCTGCTCTGGGTCGACTCCTTGGATTAGGAACCTCTGGATATAGAGGGCCAACTGTACTAAAAATCTTTAGCTCCCCTTCCTGGCAAATCCCTAGCGAGTAAGGTGGGCTTATGTTGAGTGCTTCTTTTGCCTGAGTGAGAGCCTAGAACTAGAGACAAATGCCCCAATTCAGGATTTCTTGACCATGACACCATTGATAGTTGGGATCAGATAATTATTTTTTGTGGGGGCCATTCGTGTAGATGTTAGCAGCATTTCTGGCCACTACCCACTAGAGGCCAGAAGTACCCTCTCTCCACTAGTAACCTTCCTTCCAGTGTTACCAAAATAGATCCAGACATTGCCAGATGTGCCCAGAGAAAGACACCTCTGGCTGAGGACCACTGGGGCCAGTTCTTTCCCTTTCCCCAAGGGCGATGCATGAGCCTCAGCTGTTACCACTCTGGTGAGGGTTGACAGTATCTGCCAAGCATTTACTCCAGTGCCACAACTGAGTGGCTGACTTGGAATGTCCTTGGCTGTAACATGGAAGGAGGCCAGAGGGCAAGGAGCAGAGAGAAAAGGGGTACTCATATCTTCTCTCAATATTTTTTGGCTCACAAAGCTAAACCACATGGAAGTTGGCCATACGCATCACAGGACTAGGTCTTTCTCTCCCTCCTGATTTCTCTCTCTTTTATGCACATATATGTCCACACACGTGTGCACGCATGTGCACACACACACACACAGACACCCCTCTGCCATTCTGTGTATTGGCTTTGTTCTCTCCTGATAAAGACAGGTTTTCTCAGAGATGAAACAGAACTTAGTGCAGGAGGAAGAAGTTGAAAAATGGGCTGATTTTGCCCAAGAGATTGGTAGGGCAGGAATAAGAGGTTATGGATATCAATGAGAGAAGAGAGGAAAGGATTCATTGTGACATCCAGACCAGAAGGGAAAGCAAGTGAAGCCATGAGGAGTTGGCATATGGGGAGAAGAGGAAGATGCTTGAAGATCGGAGGTCTTCATCCAGTTGAAAAGCATGAAAGAAGGGAGTCAGAGCTTGGGAAATTATCCACTAAGGGTCCCAACATCTCACCCAGCACTATCAATATGGTGTTTATTTTTGCTTCAGTGATAAGTCCACTTAGATGCATAGAATCATAGGGCAGTAGAGCTTGAAAGAAACTTAAGAGATCCTTGAGTCCAACCCAGTCTGTGTGGGCTCTTTTATTTATTCTTCAGTGCAGGACTTTGAGAATGATACTTGTTCACAATCCCTATGTACTTGGAATCAAATGAGAAATAAGATACAGAAGTCCAGCAGCTAGAACTTAAACTAAATTTACAACAGCTAAAACTGATTGGAAAATGCAGTTTTGAATGTACAATTGGGCTTCCTAATCCTTTCCCTCAGAATGAAACTTATCCACCCAGAACTGGAAGAGCCCATATCCCACAAGGCAAGAACCTGCCCTAGGAAGTTTACCATGAAAAGACGAGGAGAGGAGGGAAGCACAGGCCTTCTGTGGGAAGGCTGTTCCCAGAAGGAAGAAACCCAGAAGAACCTGAGTCATGACATATGCCCATTTTATATGCTCCAATTCTTCAAGCACATGAACCACTCATCCTCTGCTAGATAGTATGAGTTAGGAGGTAGAGCAGTAAGTGGAGAGTACTTTTCTCAAGGCTTCAGCAAGGACAGAAGTTCCCATTTTATAAAGTGAGGTAAAAGTGCTTGACAGGAGAGAGGTAGGTTTCCCCCTAACAGATACCATTTAATAGAGCAAACTGCTCCGAGAACACTGAGGCCCAGAGAGGTGAAGTGATTTCCCAAAGGTACCATGGCTCTGAAAGAATAAGGTTCTCCAGACTCCTAATCATGAAGTTTTACCATTTCACATGTATAATCAAAAGAGGGCAGGCTCTTCCAGGTTTATCAGCGTAATAGCAACAATAATCTTCTATTCAATCATGCACAAAGATTTCTAATTCCTTCCTTCATCACTATCACTGCCTCCACATCCTCCATCTACACCTTGACACCTCTATCTACACATCACACCCTCATCCACACCTCACCATTACCATTTACACCTCACCACCCTCACCTATACCTCACCACCTATACCATACACCTCAATCTAGACCTCATTATCTCCATCTAGACATCACCACCACCATCTAGATCTCAGTACTCTCACCTATACCTTACCACCTACACCTATGTCACACACCTCCATCTAGACCTCACCACCTTCTTCTAGACATCACCATCTACACCTCGCCACCCTCACCTATATCTCACTACCTACACCACACACCTCCATCTAGACCTCACCATCTCCATGTAGACATCACCATCACCTCACCTATATCATCTATACCTCACCACCCTCACCTATATCTCACCACCTACACCTACACCACCCACCTGCAGTTAGACCTCACCACCTCCATATAGACATCACCATCACCATCTACACCTCACCACCCTCACCTGTATCTCACCACCTACACCTACACCACACACCTTCATCTAGACCTCACCATCACAATCTACACCTTACCCCCCTCACCTATACTTCACCACCCACACCTACACCACACACTTCCAGCTAGACCTCATCATCTCCATATAGACATCACCATCACCATCTACACCTCACTACCACCATCTACACCTCACCACCTACACCTACATCACACACCTCCATCTAGACCTCACCAGCTCCATATAGACATCACCATCACCATCTACACCTCACCAACCTCACTTATACCTCACCACCCACACCTACACAACACACCTGCAGCTAGACTTACTACCTTCATCTAGACATCACCACCTCCATCTAGACCTCACCATCACCATCTACACCTCACCACCCTTCTCCATACCTCACCACCTTCATATGTACCTCATACCTCCATCTATGCCTCACACCTTCATCTGTACCTCACAACACCATATACTTCCTCACTATCTCCATCTCCACCTCGCACCTCTGTCTACAAATTACCACTTCGATCTATATCTCATCACTTCCATCTACACCTCACCACCTCCATCTACATTTCACCTGTCCATCTACACCTCACACTCATCTACATCTGATCACTTCCATATATACCTCATCACCTCCATTTACACCTTACGCCACCATCTATGCCTCAGCATCTCTATCTACACCTCATACCATCATATATACCTCACCACCTCTCTCTACATCTCATCATCTCTATCTACACCTCACACCTCCATCTACACCTCACCTTCTTTATCTACATCTTATGCCACATCTATACTTCAAAACCTCCATCTATACCTCACCATCTATCTGTCTACATATCCTCGTCTCCATCTACAACTTACCACCTTTATCTACATCTCATCACCTCTATCTGCACCTCACACCTCCATCTATACTCCATATCTTCATTTATACCTCATCACCTGCATCTGTACTTTACAACTCCACCTATACTTCACACCTTCATCTACACCGCCACCATTTTACTGCTACTTCTACAACCATATCTCTGCCTCTGTCATTTTCTCCATCATTCCCACCACCTCTCCTTTTGTCAGCAGACAGCCAGCAAGCATCCTTTTGGGTGGTGTGGCAGGTGTGGACTAGGAGACTACCTGTATGGCTTTAGTCTAGAGAGGTCTTCAAGGTCTTTGAGATTAAAAAAAAAAAAAAGTCTCTATCTTTTGGTGTCACCTGATCCCTCCAAAAATATCACCTTGGAGCATTTTACAGATTGAGATACCTAAAAATAAGCACACATGTTTATATAAACTCATTGACCACAAGTACAGACTGCCACTATTTCTAAGTCACGCCCTAATCTGACAGCTGAACATTTAGGTACTTGCAATGTGATAAGATCCTTTACCGACATCTCAGCAGTCCTCAAAGCTCTAACAACTTAACAGTTGGAGACATTCAAGTGAGCTGTAATTTTGAGCCAACTGGGGTCACCCTAGTATGTAACAACAGGTCCAGGTCTCTGCAGATACCTGGAAATGCCACTGCCCCTCTCTGGGCCCCAATTTTTCATTGTATAAAATGGGCAACCTTGAGATAGGGCTGGATTCTCCAAGTTCTCTTCCAGTTCTATCATCTCTCCAAGACAGAATTCAAAAAGAGTCTGGGATAAAAATTATGCAGGGAGATAAAATAGCATTTCAGAATCAAGGCTGGAATATACCACTGCCATAAAACGATCACCAGGTTAAAATCAAGAAGAAAGTTAGAGCAAAGGCATCTGCCTATGATCATGGCCAGCTCTATTCAGACCCTGCTATACCCTGATCTGTCAGTCAACCAGGCATCCATCCCTGACCCTGCAGGAGCGTCCCTCCCCCCACCTTGGTCACATGGCTGGCCGCCACTGAGCCTCAGAAGTCAATCTCCAATGCCCC